ACCGGATATTAGTTTCGCAGTAGGAATGTTAGGGCGATATGAAAGTAATCCCAGGATGGACCATTGGAAAGTTGCAAAGAAAGTACTTAGGTATTTACAAGGCACTAAGGATCATATACTCACTTATAGAAAGTAGTCCATCCATCTTAAGAAGTGGTGGGATACTCGGCATTCAGCTATGCCGGGTGTGTAGATTCGAGAAAGTCTACATTTGGCTACTTGTTTTCTCCTAAGCTGGAGGAGCAGTAATCAGGAAAAGTTGGAAAGAAGTCTGTCATTTGCTTACTTCCATAGTGGAGGACTGAATTTGTGGCATGCTTTGAGGCCACTATTCATGCATTGTGCTTGCGGAACTTTTATCTCAGGTCTAAGGCATTATCGACAGGTATAAGCTAGGACCGTTAAAATTTACTGTGAATAATTCTGCCAGCTGTCTTCTTCCTCTAAGAATGGATAGGTACTCAAGGGTGCAAAGCACGTGAATTTAAAAGTACCTATCTATGAAAGAAGAAGTGTAAAAACACAAAGTGGTCCCAATTGAGCATATCCGGTACTGATCTGCTGATAGTGATCCACTAACTAAGGCTATCGCCCAAAAGTCTTCACTTAGCCATGTTGATAGGATGGGCATTATAAATAAGTCCTTGTTTAGCAGATGTTTTAAAATTTGTATATATATATACGTTTGGTATATTGACTATATTATTGTGACACTCCGGGAATTCAATTTTAAAAGATGTGTTTTTGCTTATTTATGTGTTATTCACATTATAGATGTATACAATAATATTTGAGTGAGATAATAATAATATTTTGATTTGTGACAATGTATTGTTTGTTGAATGATTGTGACAATGTATTGTTTGTTGAATAGTTTCTCTATTAAAGTTTTATGAATTGAGGTAGTCTGTGATATATGGAAGGAATCATGTCGATTAATGACTTGTGACCGTCATAATACGATCATTTTAATTCTAAATAGATTTAAGAAATGCATATGGGCCAAGTGGGAGATCGTTAGATTATTTAATAATCTATATGTGACTCATGTAATTAAAGAGCTGGTTCTAATTAAGGTGGCCCAAGATAATGGTTATTGGGCCTAATGGATAAGGATCAGTTAGGGTTTTAATACCCTTCTTCTGCCTTATAAGAGATTAAGGAAATCAACAGCGTAGTTAAGAGAGGGTGATGACTACCTCAAACACATACGGTGATAGGTTGTTTGAAAGAGCGTGAAAAGAAAACTTTTATGCTGTTGATAATTCTCTGACCATTAAGAGAGCACTTACGGACAAAAGGCCAAAGTGAAGAAACATAGATCTGTTGTTACGGTGAGAATCGAATTGCTGCAACGAGGTAATTCATAACATAGATCCACTGTTATTGATCAAGGTACGCTTCCACTTATTGTGTATTCTTATTGAACAACTTCTATAAACTATAAGATCTACGTTATATTAAATTTATTTTTAATATTATAGACCTTTGATGTCTTTTGCAATTTTAGAAATTCTAAAGTTTGTTGGGTCTCTTGTTGATTTATTAGCTTGCTTTTGATTCCTAAAAATTTCACTCTGTTTGGTTGCCAAGAAAGTGAAAGAAAATCTAAAAATTTTTTAACCTTTGCCATTTTTTATTTACTTAATTAATAGGGTGATTCGTGAATAGACATGTATTTTCTTAGTTTAATTGATAAATTTTTTATTCAGACATCAAAAGTTAATTGATAGTTTTATATATGTTTGGATACTGAGAAAATGAAAGAAATTTATGTTCTAAGATATGGTTTTTGTTTAGAAACTTATGGCGATACAGATGGGTCAGGAATTCGAGAGGGGAAGAGCTTAGCGAGGGAATGAGGATGAATTTACTTTAAGAAGGACAATAATATCTTTTCATTTAAAATTTCATGTGGGACCAAGTGAGTTTTAGTAATTTGCTTTCTTGAATGTCCACATCAGCTGCCAGCACTGCAAAAGTTAGGTCATTTTGACAGAGTCAAAATTTCGATTTGCCACATAGGCCGCTGACACTGTAAAATAAATCACAGAATTGTTAGATAAAAAGTGGTCCCTTAAAAGAAATAAGAAATATTTCTGTGGCCTGAAAAATGTAGCTGCTCCTCTGCTATCCCTCGACAGCCACAGCCACAGCCACAGCCACAGGGAGCAGACATTGAAAATATCTTGGGCAAAGCCAAATAAAATAGACTATTCAGACTTTTCTGCGTCTCAACAAATCTTATCCTTGTTTATCTTCATTTAAGTTTGAAATGAAAAATCCAGCATTTCTGCTTTTATGCTATAAATAAGATATCTCACACGTGATTCACACAGGGATTGTCCATCCTTTCAGTTTCAGGGCCTTTTTTTTTTTTTTTAAATAGCGTTTTAAAAAAAAAAGTAATTACAAGAAAGGTATTTTCCAAAAAAACATATACGAATGTGGAGTTTTTCTGAAGGGTATTTGTTACCCTTTAAATGTAATAAATATATAATTGATTTAATTTAATTTTTTTAGTACTAGCTAACAATTTTACCAGAGGAATTATCTCTCATCTTTTTAAATGTTACAGGACATTCACAGTGACATAGGGGTGGCCACCGATTTGGTTCGAACTGAAACCGAATTGTATTGTAGACGAATTGGAATCGGACCAAAATCGACAGTTTAAAATTTTAAATCAGAACCGGCGGTTCAAGGATAGACTAAAGTTCACGTGAATATTAAAATATGAACCGGAATCAGTCCGGAATTAGAGGTTAACCAGCGGTTTCGGTTCGGTTCAAACCAGAGATTTTCTATTTTTATTTTCAAAATGATATTCATTTGGCCTATTTTATTCATCTCTAAAAGTCTCAATAATATTATACTACATGATATACATTACTTAAGAATTTTTTTTTTTAAATACACTTTACTTTAAAAGTTAAAAATCTAAAAGGTAAAATGGCAAAAAAAGAGAGAAATATTTAGTCTAAATTTATATTATTTTTAACTTTATTTTTACCCTTTTAAATTGCTTTCTAAGTTTAAAATTACATTCTTTTGAAGCATTTTTCAAAATTTTCTTATAATTTATTTAATTAATAACATTTAAACAAAATAAAGTGATAATTTATTTATTCAATAACATTTTAAACAAATAGTGATAATTTCATTTTTTATTTTTGTAAAATTAATTAATTTATTCCTATATGAGTATAGCTTTTAAAATTTATTAAAATAAATTTACCATATTTTTAAAACTCATAAATATGTACGAAGAAGTCACTGTACATAAATCGATTTAAAAAAAAAAGAGATATCGCGGAAACCGATTGAACTGGACGTGTCGGTTCATCGAACCGCCGCTCGATAATCAAATCGAATCGAAACCATAGGTTCAATGGGCGGGTTTTAAGTTCAATATTTAAAAAATTGTGAGCCCGTTCAGTTCGTGAACTAGAAAATTTGGCGTGTTTGAATAGAGCCGGCCATTGCGTATAGTGAGCAGGAAAATTCCTTCTTTTCAAACATTCCTACAGTACATCAAACCACTTGTTTTATCTCAAATTTAGATACTATATCGTTCTTCTCTATTGTACAATTCTATATATATTATACATGAGTTAAAGATTATTATGTTATATTATGATAATTATTATTAGCGTTTCCTAGTAGCACAGTAATTTGAATTATGAACATTAAAATATAGAGGCAATTCCTTTATTAAAAAAAAAAAAAAAAAAAGCAAACTCCTGATATCGCTTTATCATAACATTGAAACGTAAATTCCTTATGTAACTTTATTTCATTGTGTAAATTTATAGTTGAGGTAATAACTGATTGACTCTACCTAAAAATTGGTTTTAGCCGTGGCCTACCACAATTATAGAACATGTGAAAGAAATTGTAGCTACGGCTCTGTCACATTGCATGTATACTCTACTATACAACAGTCTAACTGTGACCTACCACATTTATGGAATATGTGCCGTGTCGCCAAACGAGTGAGCCTCTATCATTGTTCATATAATATTAGATTTGGAAATTATAAATCTTTTCTCCATCTTTTCTAAAAAAAAAATCTTTATATTTTTTAAAAATATATATTATTATATCCTTATATTTTCAATCCTTTGTACCGTGTACTCTTTCATCTATTTTGCACTTTCAGACAAAAAAAAAAAAAAAAAAAAAACTTTCATAGACTACAATAATAAAAAAAAAAAATAAGAAATAATAAAGAACGAAAATTTTTCACCAAAAATACCCTTCTCTCTCCCTTTCTCTTCCAGCAGAAGAAGTTCCGGAATTTGTCATGAGAGTGAGCTCTACAACAACGAGTTTAAAAAAAAAAAAAAAAAAAAAAAACTAAAGACGAAAATTTTTCACCAAAACACCCTTTTCTTCTCTCTCCCTTTCTCTTCCAGCAAAGAAGTCCGGAATTGATAATGAGAGGGGTCTAACACGTTTAAAACAATTCAAATACCCAATTGTTACATAAATAAACCCGTTGTTATTCCACTTGCAACTTTTATTATGAAAAGCACTGCTGGATCGATTAGAGAAACAGGTTGTACACTCGGTATTTAATTAAAATTAAAATTTTATCAAAATAAAAGAATTATATTTTTAATAGAGTGTGCCTTTTCTTTTAAGTTAAATTTTGATATCATTTATAGTCTGACAATAAATTTTCATTTTGATTTAACAATCATTAATTTCATCAAATAAAATTTGAGAATAACAACTTAAAATAGTTATTAATCTTCATTTATTCCATAATCCAAATTAAATGCAAGAATGGGAATTATAATCCTTATTCCATTCTATTTCATTCGCTGTTCCGTTCCTTACTCCATGCTAAACATAGTTTTAGAATTTTAACCCATCACCCCTAATATAATTTTTGATGCAAGACATTAAATTATTGAAAACACCTCTCCCATTTTGGCGCGGAACACGGCAAGTCCCCGCGGGATCGAGCACTATTCCTTCCTATTGCAGACTCATAATAAACTGTTAGCTCAGTTGTGTTGGTGTGAAGTGTCTCTGGTACAAATACACGATAATTTATCTTGTCGGCACATTACAACAAAACTGGACCATTCTTTTGTTTCTTTTCTCAGATTTACAATCTTGTAGAGTACTCATAATACACAATTTTCAAAAAGGACAAAAAAAAAAAGGTAGCGCTCAATTTCTTTTTCTTTTTCTTTTTTTTTTCTTTTGGTTATATCCCTTCATCAACTCTTAAATCATTGCTAGGGAGATGAATCCTGAGATCATCCAAGTTGGCACACCCAAGAATACTCAAGCCATGCTCATTAGCTAAATGTAATAAGCATATGAAGCACAAATGAGGAGAAATGTCATTCACAGTTGCTGCAGCTCTGCAATCACTAGGGAAGCTAGACAATAGCTTCTTGAAAGATACTGCCTCTTCTTGATCCTTCTCATTACAAAAGAATATCTCAAGTCAATTTTTTTTTTTTTTTTTCTAAATAGCAAGCATAAAATTACCCACTGCAGATACCAACAGATCTCTAGCTATAGCTTCTCCCATGACTAGGTTTACCAAAAGCTATGCAAAGAAAAATTTGTGTAATAAAAGAAAGTCAAAATGTACTTTTGAAGAACAGCTCCAGACTCGATCCCAAAAGAAGCCTAAGTCTTAAGGGATGAAGTTGTCATTTCCTTTTATATCAAATGTATTAAGATAACTGGTATTAACCAAAAACAAAAACACAGACCAGTTCTGGAATGCAATCAAATTGGCAATATATACATAAGTGTTATCTTCCTCAAAAGGACACTGTAAACTTCAAGTGCCGATATGAACAAGAACAACACTACTCATAGTATTGAGCTACCAAAATTCATTCACAATTGCAAACAGCAGCAAAAACTATGAAATGATAAATAGCGACAACAACATGTTTCAAATAGTTAAGCTGATGAGATTGTGTGGAATTCTACACATGGCCTAGGACCATGCCGTACTATTTGTCATTTGGGAACGGGGATGGCCTTATTGGATAAGATACGAGAACACAACATAAAATTAGAGGTTCTGATTTTGATCTATCATGTTCACGATATCCTAGTTTCAACCTGATTATGCTGTTTAACATATATTAGCCTAACACCCATACACCCATAAATTAAATACTGAGTTTGACCTTATAAATCTTTTCTCAGGAAAAAAAAAAAAAAAAACATTAGAGGCTAAATTCATGCATTTAATATTTACTCGAAAATTTTTTTAAAAAAATAATGATTTGAACATGTGATGTGAGTTAAATAAGTTTGACTTGGTTAAGTGCATAATTGGGTTGTTATTAAGTTTTTTTACATGGTAGCTAATTGTGCCGCGCTCGTATAGATTTTTACTCCATTATTATGCTTCTATATTGACATGAAATGCTAATCCAAATTGTTACTTGTATTATTGCCTTTAAGGAATGATATTAAAAGATAAAAGCAAATAGCAAAAATGATTACCATACCTGTATAGACATTTGAGGAGATTCTTGTATATGGTGCCAAAGAGTTTCCTTCAGTGATTGGACATCGACTTGCTTAGAAGTCTTGTCATACTGGACTTCAATTTTATTTACCTGAATTGTTTACACGACAAAACAAACCATAAGTACATAATGTCTTTTTTCGTATTTACAGTGGTTGCCATAAAATTTCACCTCATTAATTTTTTTTATTATTTTTTTTGCAGATCTTTGAGTTCGAATATTGTTGGGTTGAAGCGAAAGAAGTTATAAGGAAAGATACTACTGTGTAACTCATCCAACAGATGTAAGGAAAATTGATGTGCGTAAACATATCTATAGAAGAAAGTATACTATTATGTGTGTTAAGTTTCTCTAACAAGGAATAATTCTCTATTTACTGATTTCCTATGTATTCCAAAAATTAGAAGAAACTGAATTAAAGCCATACTTTCAGTGTAACAAATTGTACCTTTACTGTACAAGTCCTTATTTCTTTTAATTTGATCTCATAGCCAAATTAATACATGGAAAGAGATAAACTCATAACTTCAGTATCACCGAGAAAAAACAAGCGTAGAATAGAAGACAAACCAGAATTTAATTATAAACTGACCTGACGAGGCTGAGAAACAAGTGTGTTGGGGTCCTCCACATCACTATAAGCATTCCCGTCATCAAAATCACCACCAAAACCACTTCCATCATCCCAGGATGGCATTGCTCCATAATCATCTGACTGTAGCCTCTGTTCATCTGAAAATTGAGTAGGTTTATTTATGCACTATGACAGTGTACTATATTACCATGAGGAAACTTTTTAATTGACTGAAACAAAAGAGCAACAGCAAGAACATTTATAATGCATAAACAAAATCAGAAGTACAAACCTGAATTTCAATGATATTTTAATGCTACAAGAGCATTAATAGTTTAATGCTACAAGAGCATGTTATTAGTTCGTTCGTTTTGGAAATGATGAAAGTTTTTACTTTTTACTTTGCACACCATAGTCCACTACATCTATAATGAGGGAGTTGAGCAAATAAAACATGCATACTTCTTGCAGAACTAAACCTTAATATCAGACTTGTTGAAATCAGCTATTTGGAATCAACTATAAGAATCCTTTTTTTCAATTCCACTTCAGTCATAATTAGGTCCGTTGAGAATATCGATCTTTTGAGACAATTTCCCTCCATATGGTAGTCTGCTATTTGGGATTGACTATACAAATCCTTTATTCCAATTCTGCAATGTCACAATTAGGTCGTTAAGTAGTAAATCTTTTGAGACAACTTCCCTCCATATGGTTTTAAGTTTACCTTTTTCTCTCTTTGCACCCTCCACCATCAATGTAAGCACCTATAAATCGGAGCACATGGGGTTCTACGTAAGACATGACCAAACAATCTTATACGTTGTTCTCTCATTTTACCCCCAACTTTTGCTACTTGCATCCTTTTCTAAATATGGTCTTTTCTAATCTTATCCAATCTTATGTAATCACTCATTCATCTTAACATCCTCATTATTATGACATTCATCTTGTGAATATATTTTGCATTTGAAGTCTAATATTCACTCCCATGTAATATTACAAATTGCAGTTCTATAAAGCTTGCATTTCACTTTGTTTGATATCTTCATATCACAGAACATTTGTAGCACCCCTCCATTTCATCCGTCCTTTTTTAATTTTATGGGTTATATCTTCATCTATTATGCTATCCTCCTAAAAAGCAAATTCTAGATATTTGAATTGCCTACAATTAGGCACCATAATACCATCTAATCTCATCTCACCTCCATTCTTCCAATTAAAACCAAACTTGCAATGCACATAACAATGGAACAAGATGATTAATTTCGCATCCTATATGAGTTATTTTCTTCATCTTTTGATTCTGTCTTCTCATTTAATGTAACATCGCATGCATATTCCTCTTTCTTTATTCTTTAGTCATGATCAAAGTTAAAGGGGAAACCTAATCCCAAAAGATAGAACTTAAAGACAAGAAAAGCCCATAATCAACTAGGCCAAACCTCTTGTCCAAGTTCAAATGTTTCGACAACCATCCGAAACTCCAAACAAATATGTAGCTTGTTCTTTTAATATTAGTAGATAGAGGAATATGAAATTGATACAATCCTTATATTTTATGAAAATCCATATATTATGTATGGGTAAAAAAGTTTCTATTAATACGGACATTATTTAGTTATTAGCTTTGAAAGTTTTTTAAAATAATAAAATATAGTTGAACTATAGAATCATAAAACCTAATAATGAAAATATTGTGGAAATTGAAAATGTTTACGTCATTCAATGTGCAAATCAAATCCTTAGTGTTAAAGAATATTTTTGGAATTGCAAAAAAAAAAAAAAAAAAAAAAAAAAAAAAAAAAAAATTAATTTTTAATTGGGTAGAATTTGTGAATAGGAATTCAATTATTAACGGGCATATCATTATGTCAATCAAAATCTTAGTGAAAGAAATATTTGAATTGCAAAAAAAAAAAAAAAAAAAAAACCCAAAAAGAAGAAAAATCCCTTCTTGCCAATCGAATGATAGCACTACTCATATAAATAATCATACACCCTACAAGTTAAGTACTCAGTTGCAAAATTCAATTTGGTCTGCTTCTCTTCATTTGCCAATCCAAAGATGATCAACTTTTAAAGGAAAAAAAAAAAAAAAAAAAAAAAAAAAAAAAAAAAAAAGAAGTAAAAATCCCTCTTCCCATTGAATGAGAGATCTCATAAAATCCCACCTATCAAAGCCCTTAGCCATTTTGCAAAATTCATGTTTTTTCTCTTCATTTGGCCATATCAAAGATGGATTCCCTTTAAAGCACAAATATACAAATTCTTTCTATTCCCCTATCTAATTTCTTCTTTGGAAATAACCAGAAATATTCCTTTACATGAATGTGACTCAATTCAAAAAAAGAAAACCATAGAAATTTTCCAAAAATGATTGAAACATAATGCATGCAGCAGAGAATTGAGGTAGATCCATTACCCAAAAAAAAATCTGATCAGTTACCAAATATATATACACACGCACACATATCCTGCAGCCTAAAAGTATACGGCATAAAAAAATTACCTGGGGACCTTTTTGCTCTCTTTCCAAGGCACTACAAGCAAAACAGTATTTCATCAATGATAAAGAAAATAAGTACCATCTAAATGGCAAACAAGTCCATGATTATATTACTAGAATTACCATTATATCTGGTAAAAGAAATAATTTGACAAGGTCCTCAGGTTGATAGTGGCAATCTTCAGGCAGTGTTGTGTTGCATGGTGCTCTAGTTGCAGACAAAAGTAATGACTTGGGATTTTTAGGAGGGGCAAAGATATCTGGTATCTTTTCATCCATGGATTTTGTGAAATCAATATCAAGTTCTGCTTGCTTCTTTGTCTTTATTCTCTTTGTTGTTATTGGTGATCCTTTCTCAGTAGTAGAATGATCATCTGAATCCACAGAACAGTTTCTGCATTATAATTCTGCAAATGATCTACTGGTACAAAACAACAATTGAGTGAACTGTCCTAAACCTTACCTTTAGCTTTCCGGTACTTCCAATGATCAGGACCTGCCCAAGCATTTTGTTTTGATGAGAATCCCAAATTAAAAAACAAGTACCTATCAACTTTCTCAAATCTGTCATCCATTTCAGCACTGTGAAAAGAAAACGGTTCATTTTCCTACAAGAATTAACCAGATACTGTCATCAGAAACTTTATTAACCTCTTAAAATAAACAAAGATTGATTGCAATATGTAAATGTAGTGAAAGCTATAGTACTATGGTGTACACCTCGTGAAAAGTTGGTAAAGATGTATCTGCACCATTAGGGTCCTCATCAACAACACTCCTTTGCTCATCATGTTCAAAAGTCCAAGTCCCACCATCCCCAAATGCATTATCATCAAAGTGGACATCTCCATTACAAGTTTCATCATTGTCATCAACTTGGTGACAAGATTTCTGGAGAAGAGGAAAAATGCCTAATTTCCTTCTATTATCTTCATCAAATTGGTTGACTATACTTCCTAGAGTTGGGGAAATTTCATCCTTCTTTTCCATGTTCAGCACCATCTGTTCAACGAAATCTGGTAACCGAAAAGCAAAAAATTAAGCTTTCAGTAATTAAAACAGAATTAACTATTAATTAGCAAAACAAATACAACAAACCTTTAGCAAAAGAAAGATCAATTGTATCGTGCCTTTCATGTTGGTTTCCAAATGATGTGAGCTTCCCAGGCACTTCCTGTGAATCAAAGAGCACTTGACACCCTCCATAGACTCCAAGGTTGTTCAATAAAAGACCCTTAGCTCCACCTTCATCAAATTGTGCAGATGTCTGATGATACAGTGGATCCACAGCAAATGCAACTGAGAACCAAATGAATTTTCAATATTAACTGTATTTTAAATTTCATGTTAGAAATAGAGATGAGACATGATATGCAATCACCATCAAACTTCTTCACGTTAAGGGCCTCAAAAGATGATTCCAGTGTTGACAAAGGTGAAATCTGCATGTGATTCACTTCTATTAGACTGTAATCTTCATTATTATGTTTTTTGTAAATGAGGGAAAAGAAATCAACCTTTCTATCTATCTCCTTTTTGGAATGCCCTTCCTCTTGAGAATTGTCAATGTTGGCATTATCCACGGAAGCATCTATCAGTACAACACACAATTTCATCAACAATGTAAAATAAGGGGGCATGAACAACAAAAGAATTTGATGCTATAATTCTGAAACTTAACAGATAGATTTACATCATTCAGCAACTATAGTTACAACCAAAAGGACCAAACAAGATAAACTAATGGTTGGCATAACATAATTTTGAGTTTCAACATAACTTTATATTTCACGCAGCCAACTACTATAGATTTAGTTAAAATGCCACTACTCCAATTCCTCAATTCTGTAAAGCCAGTGAATTTTCCTCAAATGTATAATTTTCTGTTAAAAGAGGAGAAACTGCAATCCTCCAACAACTCAATAGAAAAAAGGACAAGGAGAAAATGAAAATAGAAGAATAAAGACCAAGCTTTTCATAGGGTAATAAAGCTAACCTTGTTCATTCTCTTGACCAGCTCTATTAATCCCACCAAGGACCTTGTATGCTTCTGAATGCACCGAATCCACTCGCAATGAGTAAATTTTAACTCCAGCTTCAAGAGTGCAACTAGCCTGTAAGAATTCAAAAGCATAAAAATTCATACACCTTTGGTTAAAGTTTAAAGGAAGCGTATCATAGAAAAAAAATAAGATTAAAAATCACATTTAAGCAAGTCCTACAAATCAGTGTCTCATCAGGGCTCTTGGCTTAAGTCTTTAAAGTTAAGCGATTTCCAAATATATTGACATACCATGGGCGCTTTGGACATGGGTGAATGCAGTCATGCTTAACAATAATTCCCAAGCATTCTAATAACAAGAACCCTTTTCTCGGACTAAAGGGCATAGCCACTTCAAGGCCCATAGTATGTGTGCATGATTGTTATGTTTCAGGAAGATGACTCCTGGTAGATGTTCAAAGGAATCTAATTTTGATCTCCAAACTCCTAATTTAAATTCCCTTCATCCGTCCTTGACACACATGCATACACTGATACACACATTCATTAACGCAAAAATAAAAAAATTATATCACTCAAAATTTAAAACAGTTCATTTTCAGGTTCAATCCCAATCTATAATTCTCTGCCCAAATAAATTAGCTCATCAGTCTGAAAAAAAAAAAATCGAATAATGAAATAAAACAAATTTACCTTTTGAAAATTGGTCTCAACATCCTCTTCTTCTTCTACCTTGATAATCTCGCAAAGATGGTCAATCAAATTCAATTCCCATGTGTTTTTCTGATTTATTTTCTGCACAGTTAACAAAAGACAACAAAATTTCAAATATCACAAAGATAGAAGAGATAGAAAAACAAAATTTTCCAGACTAGGTGATGGGGGTAAAACGGACATTTTCGCTAGCCAGCTTGATACAATTGCGAAAGAGAACGAGTATCTGTTGTTTATCGAGGCAGGGATCGGAATTTTGACCAGGAGGCGGCGTAGCAAGGGCGGAAATGGGCTTACGGCGGATAGCGGCGGCACGTGCGGCTCGGGCCTGGGCGCGCTCGAGCTTATCGTCGTTGGAGCCTAAGAAGAAAGGAGCAGTTGGAGATTGAATCCTGGGGAGTCTCTGCTTCAGGGATGCATTAGGGCTTAGAATTTCAGCCATTTTTTCTCGTGAAATTGTATTGATTGGTTGATTCGAGCAAAGTTGGTTTTCTGGTGATTTTCGAATTTGGGTTCTCTTCTCTCTGTTTTTCTCCTTTTCCCTCCAATTAGCGTTTTGAATTTTAATGTACACGCTTTTGGAAGATTTTTAAAAAAAATTTTTCTTATTATATTCCTTTTTTTTCCTGGAGGCCCAATGGGCCTTCAGAGAGCTCATCTTTATTAAATAGAAACTTATGAAGCGCCACAAATAGGTGGATTATAGAAAGGAGGATACACTCTTCAAAAATCACTAAATTTTACAAAGGATCATACGTCTACTATCTCTTTTGTTTTCCTTTTTTTTATATTTTTTGAAAAATGATTCATTTTGCCTCCTAAACTTGAGTCAAATGTTCAAGTTACCCAAAAAATTAACTTTTTTTTGCAAATTTGCTCCATACATTTAGCTGAAAGGATCAATTTGCCCATTAATTGGGCTGGAGTTGTAGCATGATCACACGAGGTCAACTCAAAATAAAATAGTCTCTCTGTTTTATTTTATTTGCATGATTTGATAAAATAAGCATATTAAAAATTTAATCAAATAAAAGTTATTTTACTTTTTTAACCTTTAACTCTTAAGATATTAATAAAAGTTTTTCGTCTAATAAAAGTTATGGAAAAAATAATTGTTAATATATTTAAATTTAAAAACTTTATAAACATTTTGAGACATTCAAAAAAAATGAATAACAAACAATCAAAATAGAACATAACCAGTAATATCACGAGTCTCTTCTTTCAAATAATCGCCATTTCATTGTTTTACCAATACCATTTTGTGCGGCTATTTACAGCTTAATTTCAATTCTCATATCTAAAAGTATAGACTGTATTACATTAAAGTTTCTAAAATTTAATTTGTTACAGAAAAATAATATATGAACTTCAATTAGTGTTACACAAAAAGGAACCTATTAAATTTTCCATTGAATAATAGATGAAAAGCTCACATATACATCATTAAAACATTTAAAATGAAAATTTTACCACCTCAACCTCATTAACGGTCTTTATAAAGTTTTAGAAGTTCTCTAAAAATTACTTATATATCAAATTACGAACACAATAACTTAAAGAAATAGTAATTGAATTAGTCAAAATATTAAAAGTTACTCTAAATGTTGTCGCTGAAAACACATATCTAACCAATATTTTTAATAAAAAAAATTTCTAAACAGTAGTTTAAAAAAATAATTTTAAGTACATTCATAATCTACTTTTTATACTTTAAATGCTAATGTTGTTCATTTCACAACATAACAAATGTTTACAAAATACTTTTTCCATAAAATGTTATATTTTTCTTGGGAGATATCTTCTAAAGTATTCATTTCTGTTGTTTGTTGGTATTAATTATCAGACGAAAAATATTAAAATTTTCAATACAAAGTTGTAAAAATATTTAGACTTACAATTTTTTTTTTTTTTTTTACTTTTAAATTATTAAACATGGAAACAAAATACAAAATGGTAAAAATTGTGGTTTGATCTGACAAGTAACAATTGACTAGGACAAGTATGGTTAGACATGATAACAACATTAAAATATATATATTTTATAGCAGATATGAATGTGAAAAGTTTAAATTTATCGCATTTTAGAATTAATAAATTATTAATAAATTTACCGCATTTTAGAACTAATGATAAAGAATTATTCCAATTTTAACTAATCATATGTCAAGAATTTTAAATGTAAATATATGTTAAAAAAATAAATGTCAATTCAGTTTGTGTTGGACCTTTCAGTCGATAATTGTGATTTTGTTTTTTTTTATTCTTGATTTTTTATATTAAATTAACTATTTTTTGGTTTTTTCAGATTAACTGGTCTAATCAACCAGTTTGATTCAGTTGAATAACATTGCAAAAATTGTAAATTTTTGAAATTGTCAAAAATTAAAAATTTATGCTACAATTATTTTTAAAAATTAAAATTTACATAATTTTTTTTAATTTTAACTGTATTTTTAATTAAACTCCAATAAAAATATTTAATCAATTGAAAATGATAGAGAAAGAAAGTTAAAAAAAAAACCTATCGGAAAACAGAAGACTGAGTTAAAATGATACTAGAGAATTGAACAAATAAAAGATTATCAAGATTTTTGCAAATTGATATACAAGAAAAAAAATGTCACGACCCGACTCCGTGGGCCGGACTGGCACTAGGGCCCAGGTAAACTTAAGGCCCCCGAGGCCCGTAGTAAGCCTAAACTACTCTACTGACATCAGCCACACCAATTAATAATAACAGAAACAATAAGCCCAAACATACTAGAATACAGATATTATGCTATCTGGCCCAATTTCAAACATCTCAATTAAAATCTAGTTATGGGCCTAGTCCTGAAAAAAATCACATTTATAAAATAACGCATGCGGTAAAACCCTATCGAAATACACAACCCTATAACTGCGGAGTTCAACAACATTTAGGAGATGGAAAAGCGTACATATTTAATAATACAGTCTAATTCATAACAACAAAAGTTATAGATTTACTTTTTTTGTAGCTCTGCGAGGAAAATGACAGAGCGTCGGTTGGATCAGTAGCTTCCTATTACCTGAGAAGTTTGGAGAGAAAGGGGGTGAGTTTTTCCAACTCAGTGAATAATAATAAATAATACACACCACACACAGTCACGCGAAATGTGCCCTAATATACTGAATGAACACACAACTGTCAGGCATATGACATAACTTCAGCACCTACAAACAATATCACCTTCATATAATCACACGTACATATTGTAAGTAATCGGCAGTCAAATCATAACACAAATTAGATTTACTGTTTTTTTGTAGCCTGCGAGGAAATGAACAGAGCGTCGGGTTGGACAGTAGCTCCAATTGGACCGGCGAAGTTGAGAGAAAGGGGGTGAGTTTTCAACTCAGTGAATAATAATAAAAATACATCACCACACACAGTCACGGCGTAGCGAAATGTGCCTAATATACGAAGTAACCACACCGTCCATAATAATATATATATATACTTCATGCACCTACAAACAGATAGCACACGTTCATATTACAACAGCACGTGAAATTTAGTCGTGAGCACCGAGACCACCGGATGAGTACCGTCCTCGATTCAACATGGCTCATCCTCTCACATTCACCAGGAGCCGACCCCCATACTGGGCAGCGACACCGGTGTCCAATCCTCCTGACGCAGCCCTATCCATATACATTTTCCCCTCCTCTATTCATTTCCATACCAACAGGAAGGTAACTCGTACGATAATCATCAATCTAGATCATCACGGACGCTCACTATAGAGGCCAAACGCGCGGCGCGGTCAGACTAGAATAATCAGTCGCCCAATAAAGAAACAACCGTTGGTGTTCCATGATCACAACCAGATCATAGCTAGTAGGATGCATCACAGGGGCGCCCGGATGGCTCCCGTTTACCCTACCGGCCAACTTCAATACAATATCTAGGATCCACTATCCAATAATCATTCTCTACAGACTATGGTTGACCCCACTATCCATCCCCACCAACAAATCACAGTATAGTCACACACACATAATAATGACAATTCCATCCAATCAGACATTATATACAATTAATTAATGAGGATATCCGAAACACTAGTATATATAATAATAAAATACTTAAATAAGTTGTAAATAGTAAATAAATGAATAAAGTAAATAAAATGTGAATGTAAATTAAAATAATGTTATTGCATGCAGTGTTGATTGTCATATTCAATTACTCACAGTGATGAAGAGGCAAGGTTCTAGCTTTGGATTCGGCCTGGAGGAGATTAGATAACCCGACGATCTAAGAAAACAGAAAGACAAAAAGAATTAATTCTATATCAGTCACAAAATAGTTCATCACAACCACCTAAATAAAGTCATTTATATCCTAACTATCTAGCATAACTAATTTTTTTGAGATATCTATTCTTTGTCTATAAAGAACGCATTTCCTTCTACTTGGTATTTTATTTTCCTACAGCGGAAGTTGTTTCATTCTTTTCTCCAGAACTTTCTTTTATAATCACCGAAATTCGGCAGCCATCTCCTAGAAAATTGGACTATCCACCTATATAAATCAACACATATTAAGTTAGTTCAAAAAACCACACACCATGTGCCTCGGTGCAGCCGAATCATCAATTTCCCATCCCCTCAATGCTTCACATCACCACACAATAAGCTGATACATTACAATATAGTGCCTAAAACTACCTTAATTAAATCAACAATAAACAATAAAATACAAGCATTTAGCTACTCACGAGTTACAGATTAAAATTAACTACATAATTAACACAAATAATTAGGCAATTAAATTAATTACACATTTAATTAATTACAAATGATAATAACATTAATTTCATTATCTAATATTACTAAATTAATTAACTTCAAATAATAAAATTAATTTAATTGACTAATATTACTGATACTAACTTGGCTAAATAAACTAGCTACAACAATGAACTACAACTAACTTAACTAATTAATTACTAGCACTAATTACTAACACTAACACTAACACCAACTTAACTAACTAAATTAACTACAAACCATTACTTTTAATCAATTAATTTCATTGTCTAATACTAATTTAATTAACTAATGTTTCATTATCTAACTAACATTAACTAACACAATTAACTAAATTAACTAAACAACATTAACACAGTTAACGTTAACTAACTAATTATTGCTAGGTAGGAAATTCTTACGCCTGTCGGGTTAGAAGCAGTGACTGTCGGTGGTCGAACTCGACTGGCAGTGGCGGAGGGAGGCGGAGACGACCGATCGGCGTGCTGGAGGGACAGCAGAGCTGCTGTGACGCCGGCGGAGGCCCGATCTGCAGTGGCAGCGTTGGCTTGACAAAGCTGTGCTGCTGCTGTAGGCGCAACAGAGGAGCAGCAACGCGATCTGGCCAAGGAGACGAGGAGCTGCTGGCGGAGCAGCTGCGTTGCCGAGCTGTAGTAGGGGCGGTGGCGGAGTGGCAGTGGCGCGCGGCTCTGCTGCGTTGCCTCTGTCTCGCCAAGAACGCAGGCACAAGGAAAGAAAAAGAAAGAAAAAGAAAAAGAAGTCAAGGTAAGAAAGAAGAAGAGAAGAGAAGAGGGAGATAGAGAGGAAGAAGAAGAGGAGAGGGGGGTGGCGGCAGTGGGCGCTGTGGTGGCTAAGCGATGGAGTGGAGGTGAGGGCTTGGTGAGGGGGAAATTGGAGATAAAAGAAAAAGAGAATTTTCTAGATGGTTTGGGTCGAACCGGTTCGATTCGGTTCGATTCGGCCCAAATCATCGATTTTTAACTGGTTTTTGACTTTTTAATCGATTTTTGGTCCGGTTTCTCACAGTATTCACACTAAAATATTAATATTAATTTTTAGACTGTCGGTTCATTAAATAAAATTGAAAAATATTATGAAAATAAAAATTCAGGTTGTTTCAAAAAAGTAACGAAAAAAAATTGGAAAATTAATTAAAATGAATTTATAAAATTGGACAAACATAAGATAATTAAGATTTTTTTTAAATTTTATTTATTGATTGATAGATACCGTAATTAATTTTCTTCAATATCTCAAAATTTTGAAGAATTATTATATTATGTTTCTCCAATCAATTTAAAATACATCGTGTTAAGTCATTATCAAAGTATGTTATACACGGGTAAATGATTTCTAATAGATAGTTTACTAACATGAATACAGCGTGAAAAAAAAAACAATCATTTACCATTCAAATCGTATGAAATACTCTCTTGCCTTATTTTATTTGTATGGTTTAATAAAACACATATATTAAAATTTTAGTTAATAAAAATTATTTTTTTCTTTTTTTACCTTTAACTCATTAAGATATTAATAAAAGTTATTCATTTAATGAACAATTATAAATGTTATTATAGAAAATGCAATTATTTATGTGTCTAAATTAAAAAACTTTGCAAATATTTTGAGACATCTAAAAAATGAATAATAAGCAAATAAAATGGGCAGGAGAGAATATTTATTTTTATAATTTTTTTTTTTTTTGCGTACTTTCACATAACACTAAGTTATTTTCAAGCAACCTAACATCCTCTCACTTTAGCCTAATAAATTTAGAAATATTATTATTTTTGGAGTATTCTCCAGTGAAATCAAACTTTTGTTAATTGTCCCCACCAACTAGTATATTAACACCGCAAGATGGGAGTTCGTAATATTGATATTTGGTCAGTGAGATCAGAGAAATATTTATAAAAAAAAAAATGAAAAAGGCAATGCAATTTTTGAAAATCAATGCAATATTTTAGTTTTTTTTTTAACTGTTATCAATGAATATTAATTTTATTTTTTAAAATGTTTTCATAATCAATATTCTAAAACTGAAAAATATGAGTATGGTAACATGTAATTGAAAAATATGTACTCAATATACAAAATTCAAAATTAAATGTTTACAAGGATAAATAAATGAATTCACTTTTAGTGGGGTAAATATTTTTTTAATGGAATAGAACCACTAACACGAATAGATTAATTTATATTTTACCATTTAATTATTAACTAACTAAACTTAACATACAATGGCTTGATTATTTACAAGACAATCCTACTCATGAAAAAATAAATTCATTTACATTTATTTTGTAATAAATGAATTCCATAAAATTTTATAAAATGAACTCCACGTTTCAAGAAATTTATTCTAAATTCCATATTTCGTGTTTGAAATATCAAAAATAATATATATTTCAATTCTCTAAATATGTAACTTATCTATCTATCTACACTATATATAAATGTGGGAGCAGAGGGAATAATGAGATTTTTGATATCACTCTCAATAAAATTTAGAATATTTTAAAATAGCCTTAGTCGTAGTCAATTCGAAAATTATATTTTATAACAATGAGTGTTTGAATGAGTGGTTCGACACTCTTCTCCCTTAGATGAGGTCGAGGGTTTGATCCTAATGAATGAAACAAATATTCGCTGGAAGAATTTATCCCTTCTTGGACCGACCTGATGTGAGCAGAATTTAGTTATAACCTAGTGGGGCTTGAGATACATGTGGTTAAGACAAAAAAAAAAATGCATTTTATTATTTGATTGGATATAATTTGTAAAAATTATTTGTTAAATAAATAAATATATATAATAAAATAGAAAAAGGTATCCTCTTCTTTTGTTTTTATGTTTGCAGGGAAAATTATGGATTTATTTAGAGAAGATATAATGTTTCTTTTATGTAATATTTTTTTATTACTTAATTAACTTATTTATTTATTTTAAATTACAACTTAGAATAATAAAGAAACAAAATACTAGAATAAACTAATTAACTGACCAATATTAGATTCTAGCATGATTTGCTTTGTAATTTTCATTTATTGACTTGGCTTTTTTTTCGCCCATCAAAATCAAATTTAATTAAATTATAGTATTTTCTAGCATGATTTGCTTTGTAATTTTCATTTATTGACTTGGCTTTTTTTTCGCCCATCAAAATCAAATTTAATTAAATTATAGTATTTCCAAGGTCATTTTTGAAATTTAAGTTGGAATTTTTTTTAATATAATTTATTTCTTGTTACATTTTGAGATCTTAAAAGAGTTTTATTCTTAATAAAAATTTATTACTCATTATTTTCTTTTTCGTTATTGAATTAATTTGTAACCACTATCACTTTAATTTAGTAAGAGATTTATATCTATCTCCCTTACAATAAATAGATGACCTTCTGATTAAGCATTTTTAATTTTCTTGTTATTTTTTCTTTTATATCCTCAATATTTTTGACTTGAAAGAAAATAGTATTTATGAAATTGAAAAAACTAAAACTATATATTTATGTTTTGGGTTATTTTTTGGATTTCAAGAGTTTGTGTTTATGTTTATATATTATTTTTTTTCTAATGCGCAGTGTAAATAATACTATCATTGTAGCCAAAATGATTTAGTTCTAAACCAATGACTTGAGATACCTATGGTTAAGATAAAAAAAAATTATATTTTATTATGTAATTGAATATAATTTCTAAAACTTATTTTTTACATAAATACATATAGATAATAATAAAAAAAAATACCCTTCCTTTTCTGTATGGTTATAGGGAATTGAGAGTTATTTGGCGATGATAGAATGTTTCTTTTATGTAATTTTTTTATTAATTAATTAACTTATTTATTTATTTTAAATTTACAACTTAGAAAAATAGCGAAATAAAATTAGATCATATCATTATTTGCTTTGTAATTTTCATTTATGACATAGCTATAATCTTTCTTTCTTTTTTTTTTCTTTTTTTTTTTTTTTTTTTTTTGGTTCTATTTAACATTCAAATTTTGATTAGATTATATTTTTTTTTTCTTTTTTTTTTTTTTTGGTCTATTTAACATCAAATTTGATTAGATTATAGTATTTCCAGTTAAAGAATGAATGGTTTTTTAAATTCAAATTGGTAATTTTTCAATATAATTTGTTTTTTTATTTTGAGTTTTGAAAAAAGTTCTATTCTTAATAATAATTTTTTTACTTTTTATTTTTTACTTTCTTTTTTGTTACTGAATTAATTTATAACTACTATCACTTTAATTTAGTAAGAGATTTATATCTCCCGTACAATAAATATTTGATCTCTTGATGATTAAATATTTTTAATTTTCTTAATTTTTTTCTATTATATTCTAAATCTGTTTCACTTGAAAGAAAATAGTGTTTATAAAATTACAAAAAAACTAAAACTGTATATTTATGCTTTGGGTCACTTTTCGGGATTTCAGTAATTTGTGTGTATGTGTATATATTCTTTTCTCTAATTCATTGGGTAAATAATATTGTCACTATAGCCAAAATAATTGTCATTATCAATTCAAATCATATGCTCATCTCATTTCTTTAATCGGCAGTAAAAATAATTTTTTAAAATTATTTTTCATTATAGTTGTATGTAGATATTGATTTGGGGTTGAGGGCAGAAGGTTGAAGATTGAGTGATGACTTGATTTTCTATTTGGACACTTATTAATATTTTAAGAATCTACATTCATAAATTAGGGACGGAAGATTTAGGTTTATGGATTGGATAAATTTTATTTTGAGACCACTTCATTATAAAAAAATAAAATTAAGTATATAAGAAGTAACATTACAAGTAACTTGTACGATAAAATCCAGTACAAATTAAAAAATTGTATTTATTTTAATCTAAATAAAAACTTATGCTTAAATATTATATAGATAAAAAATATTAAAATACTACAAATATATAACGAGCATAGTTAACGTGTAAGGCACGTCATAAAAAAGACTAGTATCTATACTGTGTATAAATATGGGAATAGGGAAAGGAATAATGAGATTTATGATATCACCTCAATGAAATTTAAAATCTCCTAAAATAGCCTTAGTCGTTGCCAATTTGAAAATTACATTTTATACCAACCAGTGTTTGGATGATTGGTTTGACACTCTTATCTCCTAGGTGAGATTGAGAGTTCGATTCTCTTGGATGAAGTAAATACCCACTACGAGCACTTTATCCCTTCTTGGGCCGACCTAGTGCGAGCAGAATTTAGTTCTAGCCCAGTGAGCTCGGGATACCTGTGGTTAAGACGATTAAAAAGAAAAATTTACATTTTATTATTTGGTTAGATATAATTTCTAAAAATTATTTTTTAAATAAATATTATATATATATAATAAAATAAAAAAAAATACTCTGCTTCTTTTTTTTTTTTTTTATGGTTTTTTTTTATGGTTATAGGAAAAATTGTGGGTTTATTTAGAGAAAATATAACGTTTCTTTTATGTAATCTTTTTTTTATTACTTAATTAACTTATTTATTTATTTTCAATTTGCAACTTAGAACAATAAAGAAATAAATATTTGAAAAAACTCATTAACTGACCAATATTGGATCCTAGAATGATTTGCTTTGTAATTTTTATTTATTGACTTAGCTTTTTTTTCATCCATCAAAATCAAATTTTATTAAATTATAGCATTTCCAAGGTTATTTTTGAAATTTAAATTGGTAATTTTTTTAATATAATTTATTTCTTGTTATATATTGAAGCTTATCTTAAATTATAGCATTTCCAAGGTTATTTTTGAAATTTAAATTGGTAATTTTTTTAATATAATTTATTTCTTGTTATATATTGAGATCTTAAAAGAGCTTTATTCTTAATAAAAATTTATTATTCATTATTTTCTTTTTCGTTATTGAATTAATTTATAACTATTATCACTTTAGTTTAGTAAGAGATTTATATCTCCCTTGCAATAAATAGATGACCTCCTGATTAAGCATTTTTTATTTTCTTGATATTTTTCTTTTATATTTTAAATATGTTTGACTTGAAAGAAAATAATGTTTATGAAATTGAAAAAGATTAGAATTATATATTTTTATTTGGGGTCATTTTTTGAGTTTCAAGAGTTTGTGTGTATATTCATACATTCTTTTTTCTAATGCACTGAATAAGTAATATTATCACTCTAGTCAAAATGATTACCATTTTTAATTCAGATCACTTCTCATTTCTTTTCTTTTACGTACCAGTAAAAAAAAATATTATTGTTTTTCATTATAGAGCTTAATATAAATATTGATTTGGGATTGAAGGCAAGAGTTGGGGATTAAGTGATAATTTGATTTTTTTTTTTTTTTTTAGCACCTATCAGGATTTTAAGAATCTGTATTTATAAATGAAAGACTGAAATATTAGGTATAAGAATTTGATTGAACTTTATTTTGAGACCACTTCATTATATAAAAATAGAATCAGTACATAAAAAAGTAATATTGTAAGTAGCTTATACGGCAAAGTCTAATACTAATTACAAATTGTATTTATTTTAATCTAAACAAAAACTTATGCTTTAATATTATATAGATAAAAAATTAAAAGAATATAAAAAATGAAAACCTAATGAGCACTGTTGACATGCAACGCATGTTATAAAAAAAAAACTATTATCTATAAATATAAGAATAAGGGAATTATAAGATTTCCTTTAGTGGAATTTAAGATATCCTAAAATAACTTTAGTCACGTTGAATTAATTTTTTTTTTAATTTTAAGAAAATATATAATGTTTGATTGTAACATTTGATTTTAAAATGCTAAAGATTAAATTTAAAAAATAAATATAACATTTGACAGTAATTTATAAGATTTTAAATGACTAGTTAAACTTTTTAATGTAAAAAAATATTATATGTGATTGTAATATCTGAATATAATTTAAATACTGTAATTAGAAGAGAAATATTGAAAATGAAAAAATAGTTAGTTTTAAAATATATAATATTGAATTATAATTTAAAATTTTCAAATAGCTAATTAAAGAATTTTAATTTTTTAAAAGTGTCAACTAATGGAAAGAGAAAATATAAAAAAATAATGAATAAAAATTTTTTAATTTTACCTTTATTTATATTAAATTCTATAACTATCTCTTATAATTTTCTAAAGAGTAATTTAGTCTAATTACATCTTTAAACGACTTATATTTTTTTAATTTTGCTCGGGCAGTCTATAGTTCTAAAAGTACAGCAGTTAATTGAAGCATCAATGCCAAAATTCATTTACTGGAGGGAGCAGCATATATATTATGATCAACTATGAAGCAATAAAAAATCACACAAAACACAACAACTCTTTTTCAAATATTTTCGCTATACCAAAAATAAAAAAAATGGTAGCTAATCAATTAACATGAGCAACTTGTATAATCATCAAACGGTTACGATAAAATATAGATGTTTTATTCATTTGTAATTTTTTAAATTAAATCAGAAAGAGTTGTTCGTTATATAATTGGTATTCTGGATCTACATGAGCAGGTCTATAGAATCCTGTAGTATTTGAGTGTCACCTCCAACTGCTGGAACTCTCATATAAAACATTCTTTCTATCTTCTTTGTTGACACCAATATATGTAAGGCTGTCTACAACAAGATGCTATGCCATGACACTAGTCAGTGTTTCTCATCAGATATGCTACTATGCATCCCAGTATAGCTCCAGCAGCAACCTGTGCCATTTTGGATAAAATGGTCATTTTATAATTGAAGGTCAAAATCTTAAATACTTGTTCAGGAAATCACTACAAATTAAAGCTGAATAAATTTTGTGAACAAATCTTGACTACTGAAAAGGAAAGGGACTCAATAACAATGACAACCAAGTAGTTCTCATTCTAAAAATTTCAGCATTTTACCATATAAGGCAATGTGCCAATAAATTTGTTAAAGCTCCTCAGATTTTGGTTTTTTATTATTTTGGCCCATGAAACAACCTGTGTGTGAAACTATTACTTCATCATTTGAGTCCCTAAAATGTCTCATCCATCCACCCTCCAAACCACCCCCCTTCCTTTTCTGCCAATTTTTCAATTTCTGAAATATTTGAAAGTCATTTTAAGAATTCCTTACATTTCTCGTGCAGAGATGCATTTCAATGTTATGGTAATTTGGTTTTAGCATGAATATGAAAGTAGACAGCTTCTGATCTCCCTTTAATTTTATGACAGTATTAATTGAAGTTTCTAAATAATAAACCAAAGTCAATACTAAACGTATCAACCGCTTCAGAACAGGAGATGCAAAAGGCGACTAGCACTTTATTTGGAGGAAAATGTGGTAAAAACGCAACAAACCTGAAGTGGAGTGTGCCCAAGCAATTCACGCAAAGGTCTAACACTGGATAATGGATGTTCAGGAGGAAACTCACAAACAATTTGATTCAGCAACTGCAACAAGAAAGAAAAAGCACAAAACAGCCATGCTGAGCATTGTGTAAGGGAAGATAAGCTAGACTGCATTTTCCAGGTACCAAAAGAAGGCAGCAGGCTAGCAAGAATATGCCAAGATGACTTACTTCAGCTTGCCGACCAGCATGAAGTCTGACCCCAGATGCATCGTACATGACCTGCAAATAACAACACGATCAATCATGCCAAACTTGGACAGAAAGTACAAGGTCTTTTTCCCCTTGTTTTTAGATAAATGTTAAGTCAGATGATTTAGGTAGTAGAGACAAGAAATAAACATTGACATTTTACACAGGGGCATAACATGTAATCTTTTGCAAAATATAAAAAGGAAAATGATAAATGAAGATCTAAAATCATGTGTAAATGAGAATTGGATAAATGTTTTCCATAACCACATATGTATTTCCAGCACCAAGCAAAGTAAATTGCTGGAATTGAACAAAAAAGGATTATTTAATAAGCCCGAAAAAGATTGGAACACTAAAGTTTCTTAAAGCTCCAATTTAAAAAACATTTCAAAGTAGAGAAATTTCTAAACCAAATCAATAAAGAGAAGAAGCATTTAGATTCAAACAAGAGTTAGAAGAGAAAAATAAGAGGAACTAGTAAACCTCTATTTATTATCCAAATTGCAAAAAAATCAGACCACAGCAGAATTTGCATTCTATCACTAAAAAGAAAAATTTTGAGAAAGTCACGTACAACACAGGCCAAGACAACTGCAATTGCAAAATCTGGCGATCCTGCCCCTTCTTCTAGACCTATAGCCATTGCCAGAGCTGTCACAGTTGCAGAGTGCGAAGATGGCATTCCTCCAGAACTGAGCATTTTTTTAGAATCCCATCTCTTTTCTTTAAACCTGAGCATCTAGGAGAAACATATTGCAAGACTAAGCCATATGATAGCATCACTTTAAGCATCTGAAAAATCAAGAACTGAATTATGCAACGTGTGCAGACAACAATGAGGTCAAACGTATTTAATCGAGTCATATGATCATATAAACCCAAGCAGTTGGATAAATCACTTCCCACTCAGAAAATCCATTTTATGGTGGAGGAGGAGCCTACTCTTTGGAGCAATAAGAGAAACTGAAATCTTTGTGCATGTGAATTTTACTTTATAATTACAAGTCCAAAATACATGCTGACAATGTTATAATAAAAGTAATGAAATTTACATTACAATAATACGACTGATGCCACATCTCCTTCCCACATATCAAAATCAATGATACTCCACATACTGAAACAATCGGTTGCTAAGTTCCCAGTACCTTAAAATCAAGATCCTGATGTTGCATATGGATAGGAAGTTAGGAACGATATAATCCAAGAAATCTGGGTTTAATTTTTAGCAAAAATTACCTGAATCATAATACATATTACATAAGTTTTCTTTGGTTGTTTAGGCTTCTAAGTGGAGATTAGATTCCTAAATGTGAACCGAAACCTATTTGAGATCATTTTGAAGTCATTACTACAAGTAATTTCAAGTTGAGTTCCTTTTCTACTCCTTTAATATATGAAATAAAAGCTAAAAATTGAAATCCTTAATATGAAATTTCGTAAACCAACTGTCCTGTTTGAGCATTTCTAAAATATTCACTTCTATCTCCGTTTTAATATTAAAAAGCATCCAAAAAGTAGAAGAATAAATCCCAAATACCAAAAAGCACATCCATAATAAGATATTCTCAAGATCCAGCCATTTCCAATGCAATTTCCTCATTAAATTCCATTTCTTTGCATGGAAGCAAACAAACTAATCTTGGCTTTCATCATCCAAATTGAAGCAAATTTCAAATTGACATTTGGAGATCCTAACTCTGCCGAATGACCAAAATACTCAAATGCAGACTTTCCAAAAACTATAAATTGGACTTCAAATAAAATTATAATCCTTAATGAATAAAGACAATGAAAAAGAAAGGAATTTTGATTGAAATTACGAACCAGTTGGTGAAAAGCTTAAGGAACTGTGCAAGAGCGCAGGCGAGGAAGGCAGAAAGGAGGGGGAGATTGCTTGGAAAAAGTGATAACGACGACGATGAAGACGACGTAGTTTGAGCTGCAGTTCTTGCATCAGATGCGGTCATGACCTCGTTCATGTTGATCTGAGTAGGATCTGTTTCTTTGCAAATTCAATTGGAATCTTAATAGAGTCTCGCGCTTTTCCTACGCCTTCAGCTTCCTCTGTATTCGGAGGAAGAATACGAAGGAAGGAAATGAAGAAGAAAGAGCGTTGTACCGTGTCCGTGTGGAATAGGAAAGGAAACTATAGGTTGGGCCCTCACACGATTAAAAGGGCCCATGAATAATGAATTATAAATTCATATAGCAGAATGAACTTTCATCTTTTTACAATAAATTACAAAAGTTCAATTTGATTTTGATTTATTTCTCAAAACAAAAAAGATTTTGATTTAAAATAATCGATCGCTAAATGCATAAATTTACATTTATATTTTAGGCAAAAAATATTGTGACAGCCTAAATTTTGCGAAGAATTATTATACCCTTAAAATTATGAATTTTGATAGAATTATATCATCTTTATATCATATTAGCAATAGCAGTTTTTTTGGTGTTTTGACATTTATATGTAAAATATTCACTAAATGTTTAATTAATGTAATTTTGGAATAATAATTTTTCATATCTTTCAACTATATAATACATATTTAATAGATTTGTTTTTATAAATTCGAAGATTCAATATAATAATTTATAAATTAAAATATTTAATAGATATAATTTTATAAATTAAGGTTTTCAACTGTTCAAATCAAATTAAGGACGAGGATACCATAATTTTGTCTTACATAAAATACAAGCGAATTTAACATTTGTCATGTATTAATAAAAAAGAGTGACAAACTCATTAATAATCATCAATTATACCAAAATAATTACAAATTCATTAATAATTATCAAAAAGAAATTATAAAATTAACTGTTACAAAAGTATTACTTTTTTCATCCCATGAAAATAGAATTATTTTTTATTTTGTTTGTTTCAAATTATAAATCAATTTTTCTTCTACACGTATAATTAATTTCTCAAGTGTCTAATATACTCCTATTTAATACACCTTGTTTCAATAACATTCGGTTTTTTTTTTTTTTTTTTTTAATTAATTTCTTTCAAGTGTCTAATATACTCCTATTTAATACACCTTGTTCTCAATAACCATTCCGGTTTTTTTTTTTTTTTTTTTTATTGAAAGTAAACATTTACTATTTTAAATAAGAAGTATGGTTTTTTTTTTTTTTTTTTTATTGAAAGTAACATTTACTATTTAAATAAGAGTATGGTAAGAAAAATATAGATAAAATTTATTAATTATGGGATGAAAAATAAAAATAAGTCAATTTTCACGAAACTGAGAGAGTATAAATATTTTACGATCATAATTAAAATATAATAAATGGAGCGAAAAAGTCAACATATGTTTTTTAGACAACAGGTAATAACGACCATAAAAAGCATCAAAATAGACCAATTTATTGAGACACGAGCAGCATACAATCATGTCAACGAATGAAAAAATCATCTAAGAATTCAACTTATTTCAAGGCATTTATCAAAGTTTCAACACAGCTTACATCCCAAAACAATATTTACAATATAAAATAACAAAAAATCAACGTATTAATCTCAAATCTCAACTTCTCCTTTCTTCTTTCTTTTCTTATTATATTTTATATTTTCCATCAAAAGACTAAACATCCTACATTCCTTGCATCCATCCAGGCTCATGAGGTGCATTCAAACTGCCAATAATAAAGTAATAAAGCTACTACTTAATAATTCACAATAAAAAATGGAACCAAATTTATTTTAAAGTCTACAAATAAGCAATGACAATTTTCCTTTTTAAAATTAAAATAAATCAATACATATTATTCTTCTAATAAACATGTGAAATTAATAGACATACCAATTGATAGACATTAATTAAATTAATTATTATGTTAAAAAAAATATTATTTTACGTATAAATTTAATAAAATAATTTAATAATGAATTAATAAAGGGACATGTGAGGAAATTATATTATCATTTTAAAAAAAATATAGTGATGGTAATTTATATAGCTGCATGATACACTATAGATTGACATTTTTTTGACAAAAAAATAATAACACATTTTATATATATATATAAAATTAATAATTACCAAAACAGTTGACATGAGAAAACCAACTGTCAAAATAGCTTCCACACACTTTTATATCATTCAATTAAATAATTAAGTTTTACAAATTAGTCAATATAATTAAAGCATGAATACATAAGCTAAGTATTATAATGAATAATCAAATTTATTGTTAGATTACAAGCTAAGTATGACCCGATTTAATGTGTTATCCTTAATTAAATTTACAAATTTATATTAAAATTATGGAATTTATAATTTTATGCTGCACTGGTTTCCACCGAGTCCTCAACAAAATCTCCGTCTACACAAACAAATTTGTTTGAGGAAAATATTCTGTATAGAGCTTATCAGATTTATTCCTAACTAGATTTCTTTATATAGATAGCTATTCAACCAAAAACAGAAACAGATTTATGCCGGATATATATGAGTACCTCCCTATACCTCCTCCCTCTGGTTTTCCTATAAAGCTTACCATCTCTGTCTTCTCACTCGCATCTTATTTACAATTTTGACATTCACAGCAAAGGGTAAAGGCAGTTTCAAAAATGTGACCGTTCTTGATCTTCAGGTAGTAGCGCCAGGGATGAAAATGAACCACTACGGTTACTAGGCAATGGTGTATTCCTTCGAGATTGGCGCCTTGTTGGGACAAGTACAGGCTCTTTCTCCAATTCTTCTGTAACTTCTTCGTGATCGCTGTCATCTCCACCATTGAAGACTGGATGGATATATGCATTTTGGAAGAAGCTTTTCAAATTCAGGTTTGGCTCCCTCGCACGTTCTAATGTGTCTTTCATCATGGCTTCCTGGAAAAAAATGACAAGAATAGAAAATGAGATTACCAAACAATAAACAAATGACAAAAGTACGTTTCAACTTGCTTTTTTCCAGCGATTTAAAGGATAAAGGATGCTTTTAGGAAACAGACAATTTTTAATCTCGAAGCCAAATCGACTAAAACAAGTTGAAAACAGTTAGATCAGTATATACGCGATTCGAATAACCAACCTGCAGTGGATATCTAACAAAAGCAGGCTCATAACGTCCTTTGCAGAACAAATGGAACCATATTGTTAATACCGGAAGTGTAACGAGCAATGGAGTCGACTGAGCTGCATGTTTTGTGCTTAACAGACCCATCAATAGCAGTTGTGAGACAACTAATGCAACTATGATACGTCCATGGACATCAGGCCAATATGCTGCAGCACTCTCATACGCCTGATTGTACACATTTATGATCTGTTCGTTCAAACATTAAGTTAACTAGCAGAAACCTCAAATATATATATATATATATATATATAGGTATAGATATTAAAATTCCAGCCATGCAATGCATTACGTCCTTCAGATAAAAAATGTGCATCAAAGCAAACTTAATTTTCAATTTTAGCTCATTGCCAGGCTAAAAAAAAAATTTTACCTGATGACGGTACACAACATATGCCAGGCCAAAGAATATTATGATGAAAGGAAGTAAGATGGGAGAAACCACGGCGTAAACAAGACCAAGTAAGAAATAAAGTTGTATCTGTGGTTCGCCTGTGTTGAAACTGATGGTTCCTGGATCCATTGCCTCTTCTCTATCCTTCTCAGTCTTCACCAAGAAAAAGTTTTTTAAGTGATAGATTATCAAAGGTTTCAATCTCAATATCTCCCCAGCAACTCCAGCCCACCCATCAACCATGATATAGGTTATGAAGAATGTTGCTTTCATAGGAATTGAGGAACCAATTGTCTTTGGTATGCTGCAAAAACATTCGGTTAATATTATATTAAGATGACCTCAAAAAATTACTCATGTATAATGCAAGCAAAATATGAAGTGAATTGCAGCCACATAATGTATTCTGAAAAAATAAAAAAAAAGGATAAAATCAACGAGTAAGATTATCAGAGCATCTAACCCAAAAAGCTTTCAACACAATATAAGTTGTACCGCTTTTTACCAGTATGAAAACAATAACAATTGCAACAATGAACAAACATTCTCTCGTTGAAAAAGGTACGACATGCAGAGGTTGGCTTATATCATTTCTTAAGAAGCTAGTAAAATAGCCATTGTCCCAGTAAAAATAACAGGAGAACAAAGAAACAAATATAAAATTAAGCTATGGTCCGAGAATAATGTCTCCAAAATCATAAAGAAACAATTTTTTTTCCCCATTTCAATTTGGTAAATAGTGATTCATAAAAATCAAGTTGATCATAGAAAAAGCCATTTAGTACAGCAAATTCAAATTTAAGGAATTCCGCCCAACTCTAGCCAAGTGTTGGTGTGATCCTTTCTAACCCAACACAGGCAAAATGAAAACATAAACTCGATGAATGAAAATAAAATTATATTGCAGAATATCAAATAGCAATAAATAAATTACAAACAGAAGCACATACTCATTTGCTGATTGGTTCATAAAATTATTTAGCTGTTGAAATGCAGTTCCAGTGATTATGCTCCCAAGGAACACATTAATAAATTGGAAAATATAGTATCTAGTTGCAGATCTTCTCTCCAGCCCTGACAGGCTAATGAAACCTTCAAATTTAGACATCAGCATCAATATTGAAGGTAGAAATATAAGAAATATCTTCAAAGCAATACCCGGAAGGAAACCTTGTATGAATGACTTTACAACATCCCTGCATGAAAATCAAAAGCTGTCAATGCAAGTCAGGTAAAAAGCTCACATACAACCAGGCGAAGATTGAGCAAGAGAACTATTAAAAAATAGCATTCATAGCTATGGTAGGCACATATATATTTCAAGCTAAAAAGAAGTAAATTTATGCATACACCTTCTATTGTCATTTTACATGCCTAGATATTTTCATAGCAAGACAAGTAACCATTAGATCTTTTGGCAGCCCTAAGCTTCTTAAAGCAATAAAAAAACTCCTGAAATCATATGAAACAAGAGAAAATACATGCACTTATTGCTGAATGATGTAGAT